CAGCATCTCCACCTTTAACAACTTCAGGAGCCATATATTCAATAGTGCCACAAAATGAATATGTTCGTTTATCCTAAATCAATCAAATAATCAATCAGATAACTTCGGCTAATGATTGCTTACAGCATCATCTGGTCGAAATTCTTTACTCAAACCAAAGTCTGCTAAAACAATATGGCCATCACTATCAAGTAATATATTCTCAAGTTTTATGTCACGATAAATGATACCAAGCTAAAAGAGAAAACATCATTTGCATTTATGAGCCTAATTTTGTTTTTAGAAAATTTTACTTTATGAAGTTGCCCAAGAGCAAGTGCTAATTCAGCGATATAAATTTTCGCATCTTGTTCACTAAAATGTTGTCGTTTGTTAAGATGTGTAAACAATTCTCCACCGTTAACATAATCTAAATGAGACAGTATCAGTTTTATTTTTGCAAATTAATTAAAAATAACAAACCCATAACAAGATGAAGCTTGGCGTCACTTTGAAATGCATAATGAAGCGAAACCAAAAATGGAATCTGACGAATAGATTCTAAAACTTGGCGTTCGGTTTTAATATGTTCAGCTGTTTTCGCTTTTTGCAAAATCGCAGCTTTTTTTAAAACTTTCATTGCGTATAATTTTCCTATATCGGCACCGGTTATTTTACGCACGAGAAATACTTTACCATAAGCTAAATTTTTGTAAAAATTGATTTTCAAGAAAAACTTCAATAATGTCATTTCATTTTTTTTACCTCCCGTGCCAAGCACTTTGAGTAATTCAAAATCACTCATATCAACTCGACTTGCATTGGTTATCTCGTAAACTAGAAATTAATGAATATCATCGAAAACACACTTGTTCTATTGAATAAAACTTACAATCAAGTACGAGATCGCTCAATGCCATGGTTTTGTATGTGTTAGCCCAAATTAATAATCATCTGTAAATCAATGATAATCATATGTTTGCATTCATTCTTTTTTTCGTTCGTTTGTTCAATTTATTTCTTAATAGAATGAGTCACATATCCGTCTCTGCTCGTATTTTATCTGATTGGAGCACTATATACAGTACGTAAACTAGCGCCGCCCGGCTGTTTTCGGGAGTTTCCAACGAATTAAACATATACACATACGACAGTTTTTCTCAATCAGCGTAAATATGTTGAAAAAAACATTTCATATTCTAGATTAATGCACTATAAATGACAAAAACTTTTGTTCAAGAATACTTAAATTGGTTTGTTTAGACTTGATCAAAATTCGTTTGGAAATCATGTGTGTGTCAGTTGAAAACGAAAAGAATATTGATAGAAAAGTTCTATGATAATTGAATTTTCATAAGAAAATCAGATAGATCAAAGCAATTATGATAATATTCATCTAGTTTACTTGAAAACAAAGAGAGAGGGCGTTCTTTGACGCCATTTTTCTCATCTTTTCTTATGAAATGAAGATAATACGTTAGATCTGATCATGTTGTCTGTAAAAATAAGATTTCTAATGCTGTCGTTCAATATTCGAACAACATAACGTATATAAGAAACTAGAACACATTGAATCGTTTACCTCTTTCACTGGAAACAATCAGTAATAACTTTATTAACACATTGGATGTTATTCATGATATTATAGTGCATTCTTCAAAGTGTTTTATTATTATTCGTAGCAAATGTGCATATCTTCAACAGAATGATTGTCACAGCCAATGATCTGAAGTATTTCAACAGATGAAAAACTTTCAAAAAGAAATAACTGAAATAATCAGCCAGCGATAAAATATTGAAAACAAAAGAGTCAAACTTTTTCAACTGTGTTTAAAATCTCATTCAATACGTTTCAAATGCGTAAGTTACTATAAAATGTGTGAATAGATGTTACAGTAGATTATTTCAAATACACAATGATCAATTCTATCATTTTCAATAATCTGAGATGATTCATGAAGACTTTGAACTCTCTCTCTATTGATGACAGTGTCAATTATATCATTCATATAAATATTCAGTACATAGACATTAAAAGTTTCAACACAATCAAAAACCCTAAGAGAGAGTCCATGAGGCCATCGAAAAACCGAGGCACTCGATAAAAATTAGACTTTTGATTTGATGTTTCCATCTTGTTCAGCATCATCTAAAACCTATAAATCCAAATTTCTGCTGCATTTGGTTGAGCTGGTGAAAAATTAGATCAATTTTACTGTCGAGGACTGACAATATTTTTTGAAAAAAAAGGTCAAAAATGATCAGTATAAAGTTGAATTATTTTAGGCGACAGGAGATGAACGAAAGTTTTAGTATAATATAACAGAAGATAGAGCGTGAAAAGCTGAACAAAATGGTATATTTACATATTATTTTTCAATGAGCAAAGCTCATTTTATTGGTCAAATACTATCGATGACTGGCTATTTTTCGAGTAAAAAGTATGTGAATGCTTTTCTTTGTTTCATTTGCCATTCAGTCATTAAATGCGGACCCAGAGATATTTTTGTCCTATATTGTGTAGATTTTTCTCCTCTACAAAATGATCAAGAGAAAGTTTTAAAAAAAGGTATACTCGGGGTGAAAAAAGGCTTACAATGTTAACCACTAAGAGGGCATTTTTAGGAGATTTTTTTTTTGAAATTTTTTTTCGATAAAAAACAAGTTTGAGTTGTTTCTGAAGTATATAAACTAAATAATGAACACCTAGTTTGATTTACGTAGATAGAATCAGTTAGCTAATTTTAAATTGTTTTAATGGCATTTTAGAATGTGTGAATTCCGTGTACGAATCAATGAGACTAATTTTTTTCTCTTCTTTCCAGTTGACTTTACTATTGGAATGAATGTGAAACAGTAGATAGATGGCAAAAAGAAAAATCCAAAGGCAGAAAATAATTTTCCCGGGACATATCGGTTCCACGTGTTTTTCTTTCTGTTCAAGAACCATGGACATCCTTGTTGAAACTCGGATATTCCGAGAACATCCTTCCTTTTCAAAGCAGGATGGGCTCTATGTGCCGCAGAGGAGAAACACGTAAAAGATTATTTTGATAGGTGGCTATCAATCCTGCGTGGCTTGCCATAGACGAAAAATCTCTAGACATTTGATTGATAAATATTTCGGGAGAATATATTTTATAATAGCCGATCTAAACGCAATTCATCTTTTGATTTTGTTCAAAAGAAAAAACACAACGAGTGTGAAAATCCTCATAAACAAATAAAGCTGTCTGAACGAGCCTCGCAAAGTTTTGGGATTGTCTTCGGAGCCGCTAGGAAAGCGGCAAACTGATAAAAACGTTTTCGTTTTTTGTTCCTTATTGCTAAACATTCTAAACAATAAACTTCAGTAAAACTCTAACTGTTTATAAGAAACAATCTTGTATAATAAATACACACTTTACATAATGAAACGACTAAAGAAAATAGAAACACATTTTAAAACATTTATACATACGCTTTGAATTTTAGTTTCTCTGAGCATAAATATGATCGGTTAAGTCACCTGATTTTTCATTGCATGTTGAAATTTTTTAAGAATTTTATATTATTTAGCTAAGTGTCAGATGATTTGAATATGATACATCAAGTAACTTTCGTTAGAGAGATTATCTTGGGTAGTACAAGATTATTATAATGACATTATAATTAATAACGAGGTCTCACATGACATAAAAAATTGGGTGTGGATGTGGGTATTATTCAAATGCACACACCCGCACACTCTTAAGTAAAAATACTTGAAATAAGATGCGATTACGTTTTCATGAGATCTTTTGGTAAATATAAAAAGGGTTGCTCTGAATAGTCTTAAAAAAATCTGGTCTGGTCTGGGTGACATTATGGGAGGTCAAAGTATTGAACTGACAAACTATGATACCTGTAAATATATACTACACTGAGAGACGTTAGAAAAAATGCCAAATAAATGAATAAATCAAAATTATAACTACTTTATAGTAGATACGCGGGCTAGGAAATTCTATTATTTCGAAAATGTTTGCATTTGAAATTTCTATTCCATTCATTTAATATTTTTATACTGAAGAAAAGTTATCTGTATTATCAGATACATCTTCAATACATAACTTCTTTTCTTATGATGATAATACATGTGATATATGACATATAAAGTCGCAGGTATCATTTTACTGTTCAACCACCATATTGACCTTCTGTCGGTATTAATTTAATCGTTCAATAAGTTTCTGAGCACACTATTCTTTCTATCAACGAAATTCAGCATATACTATTGAGCTTCGTCTAAATCTTAGACTTCAATTCGCTCATACTTTTTAATGTCAATCCTATTCTAATTCTTCTAGATCCGTCACATTAAATATCAAAGTTCCCAATACTTAAGCTAGTTAAAATATAGAGTAAAAGTCTTAGATCCGTAGAGTGCTTTCGAAGATTCTTGAATGATTTAAGCATTGTCATTATTTGATGTAAGTGTGATTGTAAATAAACAGAACATCCACGCCCACATTCGCTACATTTTCTCGCTATCCAAATAGATGATTGTACTTTTGGGCGTGGTTGAGCAACCGAATTACTATTTAAAAAGAGATCTGTAAACTCTTGATATCTAAAAGTTTGTCTTCATAATCATCGATCAGCAAGAGCAAATGAAGCTCATATGGAAAACATTTGTTCTTCCTATAAGTCTTACCAGTAAAATAGCAATTCATTGAATTGAAACCGGAATTTTCGTTCTTTCTTGCACCCATAAGTATGAGAAAGGGCTAGTTCAATAAAATATCGAATGGTCAAATCATTGCTGTATTTATATACAACCAATCAAGCAGATTGCTATTTGATTATAACCAAAAGACAGGGGGGAAAACTGTACACTATCAAACCCGAGAAAAACAATAAGGAAACAAAAAATAAGCAATAGAAATCAAACAAAAGCGAAAAGTAACACAAATACAAAGACAAACAAATGATATATAATATTTGACGAATATTTAAAGTCGAAGATTTGATTAGAATTTTAGCAAGCAAATGGTCGCCAGTTAATTGGATTTTTTTGTGTCAGAAATAGTTTCTTTCCCTACAATACAGCGAATGAAAAAATAAAATAAAATCACAATTTAAGATTTTCCTATTTCAAAAAATATTGCACAAAAGTATTTAAGTAACTAAAAGAGTGAGATTACTGCTACTCGCTCAAATTTAATTTGAAAGTCATTTATCATATCTTATTATTTAATCGAATCTATGACATGTCATTAAGTAAACATGTATATTAGTCACTTGATTCCTCAATAATCATTTAGCAAAAGGTGACCAAATTTCATGCAGATCTTGTCTCTCAAATTTACAAAATCTTTCGAGTTGTCTTTTGGTAACATTCAAGATTTTATAAATGGCTCTAACAACGAAACCATAGTTTCAAAGTACCAGTTCTCATTCTAATTTTCATTATCCTGTTAATTCTATGAGCATTATTTATTCGCACAAACCATCTAACATTCATTTACAGTGTCCTTGTCAAACAATATAAACACAAAGATTTGATCAAATAAGGATTAATCTATTATTATTGTCTCGCTATATTTTTACTATCATTAACATAAATCATTTTACAACACTTAGTATCCGTAGCCGAGATAAAAACAGTTCTCGTACGGATTTTAGATCGACCGACTGTCCGATATTGATCAGTCGAAGCTGTTCAGATTCGTACTAGTACCAGTCTTCGAAACAAACGGGCCGCTTCATTTCTAATTATGAGGAAAATAGCAAGCCATGTAGGTTTCGAAGTCTTATAAAATCTTTCGAAAATTCGTGAACTATTATTAAACCCGTCAGTTCTTACGTTTCTAGAAATTTTTATTCACTTTTCTCCAGACTACTGAAATCTATTTTAATCTCCTGCTGAATCAACGGAACTCCCTTGAAACCTAATAAAGTCTTCCTATCAAAATTCACTCTAATTCTTTTCAACTTCACTACTTCATTTTCTTTGTCCGCAATGTACAGTAGAAGAAGTCCTAGGCTGTGCAATGAAACTGGTACTTTTGATGAAAAATAAAATGTTCATCTAAAGAAAGATGACTTTTTTTAACCAATACATAAGGATTAAAAATTACATTTAACATTAAATTGATTAAAATGAGATTGGCGTCGAATATAAATCTATTTAAAAAGCGTATCAGCGCAGCCCCTTTCATATATGTCCAACTTGAAACTTGAAATTTTCAACTTTTCAACCAATAGCATTCTGAAGAATGATGACTCACACATATATCGCCATAAGTTGAAAGTTGAAATTTTCTATTTTCAACTGAATTCAAGTTTGACACTACTGGCCCCTTTGGGGCTTAAATGTGGAACTCACATATATCCGTTAGGCTCACTATGCTAGTCCTAAGTAGTTTAAGCGGAAAACTGTAGTAAAATCTACCTTTGTTTTCTAAAATCTGTAATTACGGCATTACCTATTTACTTATGTCTTGTAATGGTGGCCTATGATGATTGCTAGTGTCTATAATAGTGGCATATACTGGTTGCTAGTGACTGTAATGGGCAGACCTTAGGTTTTTTGAATTATCTGTGATGAAAACAATGAAGAAATAACAGCCTAATTAGTAGTTTCTAATTAGCACAATTGTGAACTCATTAATGCCTGTAATGAAGAGGGGAGTATAGGGTGGGTGGGGAGCCGCAAAAATCTCGCTTTTAAACTTACACTCAACAGTTTCTTCGAAAATATACGTGAGTTTTTCAAAAAATACTCGAAACTATCCAATGAAACAACGGGTGCAACTACAGTTCGGCTTTTATTTTATATTTTATATAGGGCTGTGATGAAATACCGTGAAGATTTCATTTCTTTTTGAGAGAAAGAGCAAAATTTACTAAGCTTTGTTTTTCATAGAAAATATTATGTATTTTTTTGACAATGTCTCTCCCAGAATAAACTTTATCTTTTGTGAAATACGATCCACAACAGTGTTAATATATATAGGGCAGAAATTTGCATCCACTTCTCAATGACCGTGATAAACTGCGGGCCGATCACCCCCGCCACTGTGACCGTATAATCGTCAGTGTAGTTCTGTTTTAATGCTTGTTATTTATTTGTGTTGATTTATTTATAATTTCCCAATTTTTCTTTATTTTATGTCACGCACATTATAAATATTTTGAATTTTGATAAATTTTCGTTTTGTCTGAGCTCCGTCACTTCTTGCGATTTTATTCTCGATTCAAAACCTTTCTTCTTGCTCTCTCTTACTCGTTATCCATCTTCCAACCTTCCTTTTATGACTATTAAATACATCGATGAATCTTTATTCACATTCAATTCTCAATACTCTTATTATTGTCATTTACAATCATTACTGTGACACTTGACATCTGCAATAGTTGCATCTCACATTCAACAACTAGTAGTGTAACACCGCCATACGTACCTCGACAATCACAGACTCTGGCACGGTCTCTGCAAACTATCATCGGTCGTGTTTCACTAAGATCATATTAGGTTATATGAACTACTTCCTTATTGTAGCTCTACGCGATTTTGTAATCAATGATGAAGGAATTTCTCTCAAAATAGATCGAATAAAGCAATTTTCATGGAATTAGCGACAATAGATACATCGTGTTTCACATTTTAATCCGACAGAGATTGCTCTAACGGCTTTCTGACTGTAATCGACGCTGATGAAAAAGGTTGATATCAGACGACATGATAAAACTGTATATTTTGGTAGTTGTAAAACATGCAGACAAGTATTTTTCTCAATGATGATACTTCTACATTATTACATTGTAAACTTCGGATTACATGAATAGAAATATGATGAATGTAATTTGATGAAATCTTTTCAATGTTCAAAAATAGCTAAGGAAACGTTTTCCTATGCATTTTGTTCTAAAACTTTTCAGCTCGTTGAAAAAAATTCTCAATCGAATTCTAGTAAATATTTTTGCAGTATACTTCTAGCGGCAGGGTCAGCATTTTTTATCTGGGTGGGCTGAGAGAGCTCAAAGAGTATTCTAGGGGGCTTAGCTTCTTAATTAGTGAGAGCTTCAAATTTTTCTCGGAGACTCGAAGCGATTCTGAGGGTGGGGGGCTCAACTCCCATCCCCGTGGCGCCGCCACTATATGATTCGCTCTTTCGAACAAATAAGAATTAAATGTCTGCGACATTACATCATTCCTCTCTCTGAAAAACAAAACTCATACAGAATTCAGCCGCACCACTTATATTCTACTTACTTCTAGGAAACAAAAGTTTGCGCTTCGCAAAATCAGCCATGTGATCAAGGCTTTTTATACAATCGTTATTTTCTTTTGTATTTTTTTAGATAGATACACACGAGCCATTATTTCTCCTTGTTTTTCTTCACCAAAACGAAATGATGTGTGCAATATTACGTTATCTCGATATACAAATAGATAGATTACTGCTACAATAATGAAAACGTCACGTGCCACTGTTTATTTTTTGTCATCAATATTTCTCAAACAAATAAAAAAAATATGATTCTTCTTAAAATCATTCTTATGGACCATCGCAATAGACTGCAACCTACGCTGAAACATATTCTCAATCATTTTACTTTTTGATCTGTTAGCTAGTGAGCAAACCTGCGGGTAAAATGGCAATGAGCTCAGATGAATTTCGAGTTCTCCTTCAGTGCACTCAACAATACCGCTTTTTTCTAATACGGCTGGAGTTTTAATATAATTTGTTTTTAACGTTAATTACTCACCTAAAAATGGTAAAATATAATATTTCATGAAGGATTCACATCGTCCCTCTGCTTGTACATCATTTTCATCATCTAAAAATACAGTGTTTGTTAGCATTATAACCCAAAGGAATTTTTTATTTTTATTTTTATCTTTTTAGACGCAAGTAACTTTATATTTTGTGAGTATGCTGATCTTACGCTCAAAATAAATAATTTATTCATTCATTTTTCTACTGTGCATTTCCATACCATCTCAGTCCCGCTTACAAAGTTGACCTTCGATGTCAATGAAAATGTGGCAGTTTGTAAAGCTTTTCATTCTTAGAACATAGAAGGAAACTTTCCCAAAAGTTTATTTACATGGAAATATGTGCGCATTAGTCTAAGAAAGAATAATCATAAATCTCTAAAGAAACGTTATCTTTTCGCACTGTTTAGCCCAAGTATTTTCGGCTCACTTTCAAAAGAGATTCAATTCTTTGTTTATACGAAAACTTTTAAACACTTTCCAGCTATTTAATTCTTTCTACAGGCACTTCATTTTTCACGGAGTTATTTAAAGCCTTCATGGCTAGTTAAATGCTTGTCAACCCTTTACTCACATCGAATAGATATCCATTGGATAGTTATTACGCTTGCAATACTTTCAAAAGACTCTCAGTACTAGTTTATAAATCTCTCTAGCCACGAAAATAAGTTTCCATTATTTATTTAAGGTTATTGGTCGTTTTCGAGTAAGGCACGTGGCTTGAAATTAGAATTTGTGATCAATAATCTAAAATAACGACTGACTTTATAGCAACATTTAGTTTATGAGTTTGGTCATCTTATAAGCTTTTAAACACGAGCGAGATAAAAGTTATTATAGCTATTTCAAAAATTTAAGAACCATTGTCGAAAAACATTCAGATTTGAAATGATCAGTTAGACAAAATAAATAAATACGAAACTCTGTTAGAAACGAATCAGACATTTAAATAATTTAAAGCGTTCCTCCTTTTTCTAAATAACTGCGATAATCTCTAAATACTGCAATATCTAAAATGTGCAGTTGCATTCAAAACCTACTGTAGCACTGTAAAAGTGCCACATTTTAAATAGCTATGCGAATTTAATTAAATAGCTGAATGTTTATTTTAAAAAAAGTATCTTATTTGAGAAACTACGGAACTTTTCAACTCGAACATAAAATATTCAATTTCTTACGGTTCACAAGTATAATTTTATATATAGGCACTTGGTTTGATGCATCATGCCAAAAGTGAACAACTTTTCCTGGGATAAGTGTAGCATTTGTGCTTGCATTTATAAAACATATATTAACTTGGGGTGGTATATTGAAGTGGTCTTTAACTACGTTAACAAGTACTTCAATTGGAGCCGATAGACCGATATTTAATTCATACTGATTTTTTTTGTAAATAAAAGTAATTTTTTTTACAGCATCAGGATTCATTGTTCAAATTCTAAAAAGTGAGATGACTGTTAGACAAGCAACTAGAAATAAGTGAATAACAAATTGGCATAATGTGCACTAGTTCAGTTCAAAATAATAGAATAGATATAATTTCTACAGACAGCACTGGGTAATGGTAAGCGCACTATGTTTTATGTGATAAACTACTACTACATTGATAATTATTTCATACGAAACTATTAACAATGATGATGTCTTCTCAATTAGAACTAACTGATTGGTTAGATAAAGAATAAAGCGAAAACATGAAAAATAGATGGCAGCATAAAACTTTGGCACTGTATCATAATTATACAGAACAATTACAAAATCAATCGCTATATTATAATCTATTTCTTTTCTTGTTTTCTTCTTCATCTTACATAAAATAATAAATATTTACTAGGTAGACTCTGTCGAAGTTAAAATATGTACGAGAAGTCAAACTGTATATATGTAAATCATATTTGGAAAGAAGACAATCATGTCAATGTACTGTTTCTTTTTATTTTTTTACTTAGTGGTGAAGAATCAATACTAATTTGTCCATCATCTAACACCTAGTAGTATCTTCGTTGATTATACATCAATTCGTGAAGATAGATCATTCAAAATTTTTGATATTCTGCATTGAAACAATACAATTATTCTTACTTCTATTTCTATTTTGTTAAGCTAGAAGTTTATATGGTCAACTTTTTATATTATCATTTATGTTCTATACAGGGTTACCAAATCTCCTGTTTTGACCAGGGATCTCCTGATTTTGCAACTTTTTTCCTGGCAAAAACTCTCCTGATTTCAGGAGCTGATTTTGAAACTTTTCTCCTGATTTCTCCTGATTTTTGTAATGTGACGATTAACTTCGTTTTGAACCTATAGCGATTTCCAAAAGAAAAGAACAAATTTATGGAGGCGTTAAGCTTATATATGGAATGATAGGCGAAATCAAATGAGCCATAATTTAGTTGGAGCTGAATTGAAGACTAAAATGAACACTCATTTACAATGTTGCTAGATGTCGAAGTTGAAAGTCTGGAAACTTCCGGAGCTTTTTTCAAATGTTAAAAAAATGCGGAAAGGTTTTTTGGGTCCGTTTGTTCATTTAAAGTACGTTTTATTCTGACGGATTCGAAACAAACATACTCTTTATACATATATACAACATATGTTTAAATAAAAAAGTGTACATCCAAGAAGGCTGCCTGATGTCAACCTCGAAAATCCAAAAAATTCCGGAATTTGTTTTTCGAAATCTAGAAAAAATCGAGGAAAGCTTTGAAAATTCGGAAAAACTTTCGAAATCTGGAATTTTTCTAGAAGATGTGAGGATCTGGCAACACTGTCTATTTTACTTGACCAGAACTTCATGATTATCTTTTAAATGAGCCAGATCTTTCGAAACATATATTCCATTGTTAGATTTAAGTAGAGTCATGTCCCACAAGTGTCACGAATTGCTTAGTAAATTAGCTAAGTAGTTTTTACTCTGTATTCTAATGAACACGTTTCAATTATCTATTTAAATAAATTTTATGAATTCAGCATTCTATTTTCAATTTTAATTCGTCTACAAGGAAAATTTTCAGCATCAATCCCATTATAGGAAAAGAGGTTAATGCATCTATTAGTGAAAAATCGGAAGTTTTCAGGTAAAAATCATCGAATGACTGTTGAATGTCAAAAATGACACTCCTGATTTTTCTCCTGATTTAGGAAAAAAATTCTCCTGAAAAACTCCTGATTTTTCACAAAAATTCCCTGATTTCTAAAATTTGTATTTGGTAACCCTGGTTCTATACATCAGCATCACTTTTCTTTTTTTATGTAGCAAGTCTATTCTGTATGACGTGCAATAACATTAATTCGAATTAGTAATTTTCATATCAATATCATCTTGAGACAATGACAAATGTGATAACAACGACCTATGGCTTGGATCTTGAGATTGATCGATTATGTTAATATTCAAATAATAAGATAACGAAATTCTATTTCAAAATAAAAACAAAATATAATTAGTTCAATTGGTAAGCATATTGATGAAATTATTTTCAAATAAAAGGTTTTATCTTGTTGAATGATGTTCTGCCTAGGAAATAACAAAAGTACGTCATTTTGTTTTCATTGCTATTTTATCTTTAAGTTTCCTAGGAATTCCAAGCATTATAAAAACAAAAAGGAATGATCAGAATAATAATATTAGTGACATCACCAAATGAGGATGAGTCTCCTGGTCTATCGGTCGTAACCACACGAGTTAAATACGTCCAATAGATAGGACTCGACACTTGCTTTCCTCTCCTTCCAAAACCATGGTTGTGCCACTAGAAAAATATAATAGAAATAGTCAAAAAAAATAATTAAAATGCTAAAACAGGTATTAAGGTACAAACGAAACAGAAGTTCATAATCATTTTAACAAGAACGTTCATTGATTAGATCATTAAAAAAGAAAACTTAAGAAGAAACAAAATTGTTTAGTTAAATGTTAACCTACTTTATTTGTATAGTAAGTTAAATATAAAACGCTCGTCATAGAAATGAGCAAAGAAGCATGTTAAATAGAGATGTCAGAAAAAATAATCTTTTCATATCTATCTCTCTTTTAATTCTAACATTAGTATTTTTATCATTCTATTCTCAATAGAAAGAAACATGAGTGAAACTCAAGATAAAAAATACAAATTCTTTGTAGTAACTCAGAGATGAACCGCTCCGACCATGTCTCGCTCCAGCTCCAGCTAATTACGAAGCGCTCCGACTGCGCCATGATAAAAAAAGATTTTTTCCTATTTTTTTTTAAATTTGATGATGTTCCGAGAATTTTACACTTTATTTCAAGAGATACATATAGAATAAGAAAAGAACAAACTAGTTGACAATATACTTAAGTTAGCTTGATTATAATATGTATGAACCCTAAAGTTTGTTTGTTCAACTTTCACTTGAATGAGAAATTTTGTTCTATTCTGTCATCGCTAACTTCTCACATTATTTTATCTAATTTCTCTCTTTGTCGACGTTGCGTTCTTACATTTCGAAATTAATCATGACACAATCCAGTTAGCCGTAGAATACCCGACTAAATGAACGTTGAATCATTGTCTCAAACATTGCCACTAACAAAAGGGTAACAATGACATATTCAGCATAATGAATAGTCGATGACGGACTTTTCTCTTAATGATTCTTTCGTCATTGTTCGTAGTACAATAAAGCGAAAAATTGAGCTATGATTGTATCTGAAAAGAAAAGACGCTCCGGCTCTGCTCCAGCTCCAGTTCACTCACAATGCGCCCCGCTCCGACCTCGTAACCCTTATGAATCACTCGCACCAGCTCCGAAGGTCTTCATTAATCGCTCCGCTCCTGGAGCGGTTCGGCTCATCTCTGTAATAAGTCAAGAAAAAAAAACAATTATTTTTCTATTTTCTTTTTTTGAAATATTTTCGTATTGAATTATCGTTCTGTCTGTCCTGTCATCAATTCCGTTCCTATCGTCGTAAGAATAAATTCTACGTGAAAACTCAACAAATCTAGTATATTTTTATCCTTATTTATCCACTTTTGATCTGTGGACGAGCATGTATTATTTTCATTATTATTTGTACGCAGAATGGAGATTATACAATTAAAGATATAATTATACGAGCATTTAACGTTGTCAGATACGACATATAGGCCTTAGATATTCTTTTATGATACACATATCAAAAATATGAACAAATGAGTCGTAAAATAGAATCTAATTAACTATTCATAGAAAAAATAAATACCGCTATCAAGTCCAATAGGAAAATCAAGAGTGGGTTTGAATGAGAAAAAAACGATGCATGTATTTTAATAGTTCATGCATTTGCATGTATGATTGTATAAGAGAGTAGCACGTAATTATACATTATAATAAGTGCGAGTGCATCTATTTTCAATTATGTTTCTTTTTAGTTATTTTTTCATTGACTTTTGAAGAAGCAGTCAACAGACGTCAGTGAAAAAAGTGCATTAATATGTGGAAGGAAAATTCCCGAAAAACTTGATCAAAATAAAGGTATGTGTATTTAATTGGCAATTGAAAACATTTTTCTTTTATACTCAAAGTCTTATATTAATCATATTTCTAATAAAAATTGTCATATGTTATCGGTTTAGCATAATTTATTGTGAAAATATGTTTTTTCATTTTTATTCTTCAAATCTGCTTTATTGGTTAGAAGGGTTTTCGAGAAAAGGAAGTTTCTTCGTAAGAATTCATCGTCTCCTTTTCATTTAATATTTTAATTTGTTTATATTATAATTTTAACGAAGGAAACAACTGACGAATAATAGGAAAAAAAGCATCTCACGTATTGTGTGAGACTTGATACTTTAAATAACTGAACAAGAGAACGAAACGAAGGGAAAAAAGCAGATGAATACGATTTGAAAAGATCGATTTGATAGGGAATGCGAGGAGGCATGCATTTAATGTTCGTAGTAACAATAGCGAAAGTGAATGCATAGCATGTTGACAATAATAATGATTTTGTCATCTATATTTTGATTATATTAACTAGTATTACGAATGACTAGTGCAGTACGTCTATATACGTCCATTGAAGATTTGAGCAAAGATCACTTGACATTATGTAAATGTAATATTCATGGAAATAACTGATCATAGATACAATGAGTACTTTTACAATTTTCATGTTTCATTAATTGATATGCTAAATTTTATTTGTCATTTGAAGAAAAATAAATTTAACTGCATCAATCGTCATTTTCTCCGCGCACACATTTATTGTCGTCTAACTAGTAGTAAATAAAGAGAGAGGCTACTGCTTAATTTATTAGAAAAATTCTTATAATCATAGTGGTAAAGTTATCCTATTCTATGATGATATCAAAAATCGTTGTGATTGATAACGAAAGTCTGTTTAATCTAGCATCTTTCAAATATTACAGAATTAATTTTCGAGGATAAGGAAAATCACCAAAGCCTTATTCCTAACTATTCTA